TTCAAAAAATGCTAAAGAATATAAGTCCCATATCTAAAGCTATTCTCTATATTTACTTTCTTGAGTAAATTAAAAAATATATATTTTTTTGTCAAAATTTACATATAAATTAGAGGTCATCTCATTTGATTTATATTTAATTTAAGTCTAGGGGACATGTCCCTTGACTGACAACGTGAGTTACTAAATAAATTAATTCTGCTAAATTATACGTATGAAAACCGAATACTAACTTTTGTATGGTTTAAAATTTATATGATATAAAAATTAAATAAAATAAAAAACGCGCATTTCTAATCAAAAAACTTACGCGTAAAATTTCTTTTCATGATTAACATTGTTCCTATTATTAGAATTAAAACAGTGTGTAGATGATGTTCAAACATCCATTAGAAGCGTAGTATTAATGTTAAATTCGATCAAGATAACTCATCATAAATTTAAATAGTCTACATATGAATGACCGAGTTTGAATAGCTTATCATAAGTGTATCACAGATGATAATGAAGCTTTATACCTTTACATACCATCAACTTCACAATCAAAATTCTCAAATTACGTAATTTTTATATATTAATATAATACTGCAATGATGATAAATGATCTCTAAACGTCACAGTAAAATCAGTCAATCACACGCAGCATAAATAATTAGTAGTTTATAATAATACTTTGCATTGATCACATCACGTAATATTTTATGATGCATCGGCTCGCGGATTCTTTCCTTGTCAGTTTATTCCATCCAATTTTTTTACACGATCTGATTCTCGATGTTTTAATTGTCTCATTAAAAAGTTTTTAGTATTGTTTCGCAGAATTTTATTCATACCAAATATAAACAAACATTCATTTTTAATTATAGTTTTTTATTTTATTTATTTTATTTTATTTTATTTTATTTTATTTTATCTTTCCGTTATTTAAAGATATTTTTTCTTGGAACGATACAGGAATAAAGTTCTTCATGGTCTTTCCACTTCATCAATCACCTTGTCCGATTGACCAGAACACAGTCAATCATGTATATAAAAACCAGGGAAAACAACAAAACAACGGTAGGTATAATTCTTCGAATGTTACCTTAATCATTCATCCTTCTTTTTAATGCGGCATATACTAAAAAGCATTTTTGTACAAGATAGTGAACGACGAGGTGATAGAGCAGCAATATTCAACGGAATTATCTATTAATTCTCATGAAAATATAAACATCTTAGATACACCTGAATACTGGGAACAATTTTTAGGTGATGCGGATACATTTTTACAGAATGACTTTGAGATGTTTGATGAATATGGTGCACCGATAGATTCCCCTCCTAATGCACCGTTCACTCCATTTATTGAAAAAGTAAATCAAATATCATCTTTATATGAAGAACCAATATACCAACAATTAGAATGTTCGACCATCAATTGGCTTTGGTCAACATTTATACAATCTATCATGAATGGAATGCCGCATCTACCAAGTGATCGTATAAGCGATGTCATCGAGGTTGATTTCCCTACAGATTTTGCTATGTCAACATTTTACCAGCTCCTTAGTCAAATGACCTTATTAGGACCACACGTATTTACAAAATGTACGATATTACGCATGATGAGTTTTAGTGAATGGAATCGTAAACATTCACTTCCAGATCATCGCCCAATATGGAATGTTGAATCAAATAATTGTGCAGATATTGAAATAGTCGAACCTGGTGAAGTTATTGATGAATTAATTAATGAACATTTGGTAAACAGTTCAAATATATCATCATCCTCAGAAATTTCTGAACAAAAATCACCTTCATCAAATCAACAACCAACTACTGAACAAAAACAAATTGTATCATTAGACATCGTAATACAAGGACAATATCTTTCACCCCAGAGTGAAATGTTTTCAAAAATTTTTCATTATATGTCAACACAAATATTTTTTCGTCCACATCCTTGTGGTCGATATGCTTCAAGGATTACTATGCCGGTTCCTTCTGTTTCTACCATTGAACCAATTATGATATGGCTGTACAATCATGATGATGATGCATGGTTGAAAACAGTGACGCCAAGGAGCTTTGAACAGGTATTTTTTTCTCACGTTCCATGATATTAATTCCTTTTTACCACTACGTATCATCATACTTTTTGATATTTTAGATTTGTCAGAACGTGATATTTTTGGGATTGGGTGATAATGCTTTAGAGGTGTTATATAACTATTTTCAACAGCATTTGGAAGAAATAATTCAATAGCATTTTTGGTAGATTAGTATTGAATATCCAAAATTTGAATATTTTTCATACACATATATATATTCTCATCTATGTTGCATTCAATTTAATTCGCTTATTCATTTATATGATTTTTGTAATATCGAAGAGAGAAGTTGAAAGAAAAAGTCAGATAGTCAACCTATGTAAGTTTTCTTTATTTGCAAATATGAAACTTAAATTATGGTGGTAATATTGAGAAAAAAATTCGAATATATTTTTATTTGATAAATTAATTTATAAAATTCGATAAGACTAAAGGAGAGTTATTTTGATTTTCACCTGTAGGCTAATTAAACGTCTTCTCTTAATTAATTAATACTGTAAAATTAAAAAACATTACATGACTCGCTAAAATAAAGGTTGTTAATAAAATCGTTAACACTAAATTAGTTCAAATTATTTGGGAAAGATGAGATTATTAAATTAAAGTTTCATATCAGTGATTCACGAATTTTTATAATTAGCATGTGCTTCAAATAATTAAATAAAGGAAGAGAAATATAGCATAAATACAAATACAGCAAGCAAGCATGAAATCATTAAAAGCAAATAGCAGAATCTTCAAAAAGCATTTGAAAGGCATATTAGAGAAAGCATTAAGAAGGAAACTACTTAAAATGACATTTTATTTGCATATTAAAAAGATTATTTACATCCATTAAATCTTTTGACAGGCTTGGTGGCCATTTTGATTTTTGCGCGTGAACCATTATTCAAGTAAATATATCCTTGTTCAAGTGCACGGTGAAATGACTCCGCATACCAAAAATCTGCAAATGCGCAATTCTATTTATGAACAATTAATAAAAAAAAAATCAAAATCTTTGGTATCAATAATAATTTTGAAGCATTCAGTACTTGTAAAGGAATTTCAATCTCTTTTAGAATATATAGCCCCTATGACTGATTTATATATCATTAAGTTGATTAATAATACAAATATTATGTTACCAGGCGAATGGTTACGTGATATTTTGGAGTTACCCTTTCTAAAAGAGAACAGAGAATTTACTTATTCTTAAATTCATACCCTAGCACGGACAATTTCTAGCCAAGAAACTTGTCCGAAAGCACGTTCAAGACATTGTTGTAAAGTCCCTTCGTCAATATCATCTGTAACTGCACCGATATAAATTCTACACCAATCATTTGAACCGGATGCCTGAGGCGTTGTTTTCTCTGATATATTAAAAAAAAAAAACCATCAACTTGAAACTTATGGAATAAACTGCTACATGAAAAAAACCTTTGCTCTTTAGAAAAACAAACTTTGAATATCATTGCTCATAGACTTAACATAGTTAATTTCATTATAATAGTCCAATTCACCGATCATCGGCGTAGCATAACTAAAGTCAAAATTAGTAGTACATCGATTTTTTAATAAGTCTTTGATTAAATTCCTTTGAGCTTGGATAAGTTCATCTTGAGCTTGAGAGATTTTGTGATATTTGAAAATCAGGATATCTTTAAATTCATTTTGAGATTTTAAGGATGTACAAGATGCACATGTTGGAACGTTATCGGTAGTTTCAGATGTAGACATTTTTTTTTTTGGAAAGATAACTTGAGTTTAGAAGAACTATTTTTTTTGAAAAAAGAAATAAAGTTATATTTAAGATAGCTGAAGAAGAAAATTTGAAAGTTATGTTTTAAGAAATAGTGATCAAATTTTTTTTTATATACAACCCTGATTACACCACTCTTTGCTATTCTTCAATTTGTTGATTTTATGGTTAGTATCTAATACGTCATTATATGATTCGTCAACTTGTGTAATCTTTTTCCTGTTATCCATGAAAAAAAAAATTCTCGTGTCTACGTAAAGGATAAGTGCTATTACGTGTAATATATATATCAGAAAATTGTCACCAGAGTATCGGTTAGATTCGTTTCATGAAAGGATTCTTTGTACGTTCATTTCAATTTTTATTAATAGTACTATCTACTCAGGATTATCCTTTTCATATGCTTGTTAAATTCTAATAAAATTTTGCATCTTTTTTAAAAGTTTGCTATAAGTAGTTTTATTGATAGCGTTGATCAATTGAATTAATAATATATATATAGATCTGATTTTCATATATTATTTTAGAAACTGATTTTTTCGTTTAAAACAAGATAATCAATTTTATACTAATATAGGTTTTAAAAAAATAGATACGTAGTGCTTTTTTTTATTATTTTAAAATTAATTTTTATATTATATTATACGTAACAAATATAACAACTTAATAAAATAATTTTTTTATTTAAAAAATTTTTTTGTTAGATTTTTTATATACTTTTAATCAGATTATTCGTATGAAAAGGCATTTGCTCGGAAGAGGCTTGTATTTTATATGTATTTTTTACAAATTTATTAGATAAATTACTGTTGTGTGATACTTGATACTCTAGGTAAACTTTAATCCTAATTTTAACATTATTATGTATGACTTAGTATAATTATTATTCTAATAATTAAAATATATAGTAATTAATGTATACTGTAAACTTCATAATCACGTATTCTTGTGGTTTAAATTAATAGCATCAGCATTTTTAATCTCTAGTTCTAGTCCACACATAAGACGTCTAAGTTGTGTTTTTTGATCATCAGTTAATTCGATGGATTCTATTATGAATTTACGATCACCTTTTTGCCTTAAAAACACTTTTGAAAAGTAAGTGAAACTATTGATATGATCTATGAACTTAAATCTACACTTTTCCCTTTCTTCTGAATTTCCATAAAACTTCACTTTATCAATTTTCATCGACCATTCAATTAAGTACATTCTTTGCATTAAAAAATAATAATTTGACAGAGGTCCGATGAGAAATATCATCGGTATAAAAAGTATTGCAAAACCAATTCTCCAACAAATTCCCTTAAAACGGATATCATAGTGATCTAAATTATCCAAATTAATCGGGTCATCTAGATCCATGACCCCCCAATGAATATTGCATGCGTACTCGACGAAACGTTCGCAAGTAGATAAACCTATATTCATAAACCATGCTCCTCCGATAAAAATGATGCTTAAAGCCAAGTATCGATCAGCATTTGTACTGGTACGATCAATATAACCGATATTGATTAAAATAGAGATGGTAGCTAAAACGATGACGTAACAAGACGCCAAAATGGCGAACAATATACCAATATCTCTTTCACGCTTAATAAGTGCATTAATACGCTTTAAAAATTCTAGATATAATTTGTGGTCTTTAGTGCTTATTTGTTTCAAATGATTATCAGATATAGATATCAACATAGGTATAAATACATCTCCGTTGTTGACAGTTCTAGTAGCTTGAATCAATGTTTTGATATTGTCTTTATTTGACATAACATGTTCTCCAATAATTTTTATGAGAGCTAGGATGCCACCGGTAGCTGTAACGCCCGATGTCACAATATTTATAATTTTATCAGTATTTTTACGTTGTTCAATCAAAAGTAAGAATACTCCAATAATTATTGTGATTATCGATACAGCAAGATGTGCTATCGTTAAACTCCTCCGGGCTGCTAAATTTTTTTCTGTTATTTCCCATTCTTCTTTTAAAGTCATGAGGATATACTTTTTTTCTTGAACATCATTCATATTCTCGTTAGGACTCATGTCAGGCCTGCCTGTCACACAAATCCTTATAAAAATATTTCAAGTTATTTTTATTTTTTTTGAAATAACTTTATCTGCTCTTAAAGCAGATAAATCTATGATTTCAAGTCTTGCCAGAGACGAGAAAATCAATTTGACGTTAAAGCGAATTCTATAAAAAAAATGGTACAATTTTTATATATGTTATACATGTTAACACATGGATAGCTTTGTTATTTCGTTTCTTTTTTTTTTTTTTTTTTTGTAATATCTAAATTGACAAATAAGTCATGAATGGTGAAAAATAAAATTGTTAATTGTGTAATTGAAATAATTAGTAGCGTGATAAATATTTACATGTAAAAAGACGAAGTAAACAATAAACTGACTAACCAATCAAATCGCAGAAATAATTGTCTTACGATCTTTCACATATGAAACAAATTAAAATTAATGTTATCATGAACCACGTGTTAAGCTCAATACGTAAATAATTTTGATAATTATGTTTAGTTGTCAATGGACAGTTTTTTTTTTCGCTTATTACATAGATTTCCAATACAGAAGTGCCAATGTGACAACTTAGTTGATGCAAAATTACCTCGAGATTCTCGTTGACAGTCAGATCGATGTTAAGACATTATAAAGTAACAATTCAGCAAAGGTAACATACAATAGGCAGAATATGTCAGTTTACGTATTTTTTATTATATATGTCGTACCTCAGATTAGAATAGGCGTAGGTTTAAAATTGAGTCGCGTAAAATAAAATTTGACTCAGACCGATTTTGTCATTTATGCGTCATATTGAAATACGCATAATAAATGTCATGATAATAATAAATTAATAAAAATTTGGTTCTCTTAAAATTTCTTTACATACCATTCATGTATTTTGTATTGAACTAAAATACTACAGTATGGAGTATTCATTTATTACACGCAAAACTTTCGGTAGCTATTTTATTAACTTCATTATAATATAATTTATCGTTATGTAAAATGTATTTAATTCTTTATACACGTCACTCTCGATATAACGGACTCTTGATATAATGGAGACTAAGTAAAATCTCGATATAATGGATCAGATTCAGATCCACATCATAATAAATACTACTTGATATAATGGATTTACTAATAAAACTCACGATAAAGCAGATTTTAAAAAATTCCTCACTATGTGCCCGAGGTACTACGTTATATCGAGAGTGATGTGTATTTATTTAGATTGATTCTTTTTCACAACATTCTTTATATACCTTACAACCGTTGCAAAATTTAACGAACAAAAAATAACAAGACATCAAGTATTACAACAGCAAAGATGACCTCTGCAATGATAGTACAAATTAGAATACGAAATTAGAGAGCATGTACGTACGTAAAAATTCTTATTCCAAAAATCGATCGATTTTAATATGACGCATAATAGATAAATTGATCTGAAATCAAATTTCAGTTTGACATAACTCAATTTCAAATTCACACCCATTCAAATTTCACGTACAACATATATAATAATATTATTTTGTGTATACTCAATACGACAATAAAATTTTTTTTTGATGAGATCTATCAAAACTTTGTATTTTATGTTTTCAATTTTTATTACTGTTTACCGAACCGACGCATTACAAATAAAATATAAAAGAAATAAAATTTCTTTTTTACAAATCTGACCAATCAGATTACATATATAGAAAGTAATAGCGCTAGACCATTCTCAATAAGCAAATAGTGATTACATATATATTACTGTCAATACTAAAATATTCAATTGTATGTATGATATTGAGTCACGCAAACTTTTAAGATATATAAATGCTAGAAAAAGGTAGTCGTGACTTTTGAATATACGATGATATGCACACTTATAATAAAGTAATTGATAATATTTTCTATCTAGCAAAGGATATTATAATGAATACTTTACGTACGCACTATAAACATTTCGATATGCCCCAAAGTATAAAAAAATTCTCTCAACAGAATAATGGTTACATTATGTGAGATGCGAGATGTCAAGAGTTTTTGTATTAATATAACCCTATAGAAAAACTTATGCTGCTACGTATAAATAAATAAATTAAATAAATAAATAAAGGACGATTTTAACGCTCACCGGAGGTGAAATTCACCAGGGTGCTGTATCTCAAAAACGTACTAAGTAAACGGGATCGGGTACTCTAAGTAAAAATGTT